AAAGGCATGAGAAAAATGTAATGACCAGCCCATGATAGCTGCACTACTGATAGCCTGTATTGTTACCGTAAAGGATTTGATCAAGAAACTAAGACTCAGGTTGGAGTGTTAGAGAGTAGGCATTGTTTAATAACAGCACTGGATACATGAGGGATGCTCTCCTATCACAAATCACTTACACAAAAGATCTTGAGTTTTATACATGATTCGTGTTACACATGCAGAAGTTTTTCAGAGGTATGTTACATATGCAAGTTTCCCAAAAGCATGTTGCATATTCAGTGACCGATTTCTAGCAGGACCTCCTATTTCCTTGGTTCAGAGAGTTAGCAGAACTTCCTTATCTCTTTGGCACAGCGACACAGCTCTTTCTGTTATCTAGATGAATTGCAGGCAGAGGTATCCATCAAGGAACTCTGGCAAGCTTAATAATACTGTTACAGCTTGTATCAGCTTGAGGAGATGGTACCAAATTTTCAGTGTCCCACTCCAAGTACCTGCACACAAATCATCTGTGTTGTTATCCAGGTCACTGCTGTGAGATTGTGTCATTTGGCCATTGCTCCTTTAGTCTGTCTGAAAGTGCTTGGTGCGGTCCAGACGCTGATACAATCAAGGTGAACAACCGAGTAAGTGGTTTCTTCGATCTCTAGTCAAGTGTGATCGAAAGTGGAGTAGGAGTGGTAAACATCCCTCATCCTTTCATTAGCATCTGTTTGTAGAGCTCAAGCGCTGACTTTTTACTGCCTTTCAGAAAAGTGGGCTACATAACACAGTTTAGAGACATTCTTATTATTAGGAGTCAATTCCTTCCATTTGCTACGCTGCCATCCTTCTTCCAGGAGGTGCTGAGACAGGAGGTAGAATTTATGTACATATGATGTGAAATAAATCTCTTCAGTTTACAACTTCCATTTAATTTGGGAGAGTGTGTTTCTTTACAGCAGCAACAAACAAACAAACAAACAAATAAAGTGAAGACCTCGAAGAGAAGTGGAAGTTACAAATGCGGAACCAGGTTTGGTTGGCTCTCCAGAAGTCTTTTTCCCTTTTAGACAAATAGCACTTTCAGTTACTCAAGTAGAAGGGGTCATTGCACAGCCTGTGTGGCTGCAGTCATGTCACTTGGGCTGCACACAAATGGATTTGACCAGAAGTGCTGATTTTCATAAAATAATGAGTACTTTTTTTTTTTCTTTTTTTTTTTTTTTTTTGCACCATTGTCAAAGTCTGGTGTTATCAGCTGTCCCACAACATTAAAATAACCCCAGAGGAAACATTCATCAATTCTGAGATAATTTATTTGAATATCTACCCTGTATAGTTGTCAGCAGTGACAGCTGTGATGATGCTGATGAAGAAAAATCTGTATACAACCTACAGAAGTGCATGTTTGTATCTATGGGAAACATTTGTTCTGCTTCACTGCTGCCAGCCTGTCTTTCTCATATCAGGAGTCAGCTTAGGTCAGATGAGTGATAAATAAGATGATTTTGATTCATAACTGAGGATAATGTTTGAAAAGTTTCTAAATGTGAATAAATTTTTTTGGCTGGTCTGCAGCTTCTTCTAAGAGTTTGATATCAGGGAATGAAACAGTGTTTATGGAGAGAGAAAATAAAGCTGTGAGGGAGAAAAATACTGTGTTCACATCTCCCGTTTCCTCTTTAAACTATATTATTTTCACTTCTTTTTCCTTCTTGGTCTAAAAAATGGAGTGTGAATTTAAATGGCAGCTGACAGTATAATGATAGCTAACAGCCACAGCGTAGGCTTTCTTGTCTTCCTTTACAACATGTATCTTCTTTGAACTGTACTTTCTCATTTGAGATATCATAGATACTGATACTGAGCTGAAGAAAGCTCAAGAGTAATGCAACTGATTTATAAGCATAGAAAAGGAAAGGTTATAATTAGTGAAAGAAGACAATTTTCAGAACTATCTAATAAATGTAGAAGTAAAGAGCTTATTCTCCAAGTTGCTTTGAAAGTGATCGTTTTTCTTGTTTGTGTTGCCTAAAACTGTGGGCTGACTGGTAAAAGTTTTCAGGTTTTTTTTTTGTTGTTCTTGTTTACTACCCCTAATTCAAGAACCTCTTATGGACTAAAGATCATCTGTCTTCAGAGGCAGATATGTTCCAGCATCTCATTTCAGTAACCTTCCTCTGGTCAGCTTGACAAATAACTAGGTGATAACCGGGGACAGAAATTTGTTGCCTCAGTTAAAAAGAAGGAATAGATTTTATTTAGATCCCATCCAGAACTGCCTACAATAGTTGATCATTGACATTTTGTGTCTCTGAGCTTAATATATTTGTAATCAGCAGCTTCTACAAAGAGGATTTTTTGTTGTTTTTGCTAGACTAATGTCTCAGGGTGTGCAAATAAAGACATCGTGTAACAGCAGGTGGTAACCTACAGTTGAAAAATTCTAGTGATGGATATAAAGTTGAGACTATGTGAGGAATTGTAACAAATAGATAAAATGCATGCTAACACTAATGGAAATGGGAGGTGAAAGAAGTCCTGAGAATGACTGAGGTAAGGCCTTGGTGCAGAAAAATACTTTCCTGGGTTCTACACTGTTGCATCCTTGTTACAAAATTCTAGGCTATATGCAGTGATTTTTGCTGAACAAAAATTTCTGCTGAATTCTAGTTCAAGTCTGATAGCAAAATGATTATAAAGATGCTTGCAGACTTGGGCTAAGAGCCAAAATATTTGTAAAGGATGTAGAGGTCCTGCTGCTATCAAACTGGATCTGAATTCCCATATGCAGTCTCCTCCTACGTAAGTGTTTCAACATCCCAAAGGATCAGTCATTTTCCTGTCTCTGTAACATATTTATTTGTAAGTGTTGTCCTACACAGAACTCTCTCTCTTAAACACTGAAATACTGTCTATCTGGGAGACTAGCCAGAGAACCTGGACAGTGTTCAATATTCATATGACTTAATGTCCCTTATCTGCTGCTGCTTTTCTAATGTCTCTGAATTGCCAAGTAGGCCTGTAACTGCCTCCACTCTAAGGAGCATATTTCAGACTCTGTTGCAGAGATCTCAGAGAAAGTGCACAGAGACTTTCAAATTATTTTTTTTTCAGTGCTTCGTATATATGCACTAAAACTACTGGTGTGTGCTATTCAGCTGTGACTCTTGGATAATGAAAAAAATGGGCTAGAGAAATTAAGAATAGAAGTAATGACCCCTAGGCAACAATGTAATGTCACACAGAAAAGATATAACTCAATTGGAAATAGCCAGCTGGCACTAATGGCTCATTTGTTTGGAATCATATTTCTGGTCTGTCTGGCTTTTGGTGAGATGAGAGCAGGGAAAATCATGCCTGCCTGCCAATGGCTATCTTTAAAAGCACTATTAAATATAGGCATTGGTCTGTAGCTGAAGAAGCACTCAAAACCTTCTTGATAATCGGAAATGGTTTTAGGAAACCATCAAGTACCTGAAAAAACAATGTCCAGCTCCCAGAAGCTCAGCTGTGCTGCTGGAGATGGTTTAAACTGAGAGGCAGCATCCCTGCATGCTGCTGGGAGGAGCTCTGTTTTGAGGGGAGGAATGCTAAGTGAACAAAACTTTATATAAAAAATAAGGCCTCACAGTGCCCTGGAAATACATCTTGGAGTTTAACCACCATACAGTTCTCATGGCAATATGATAGTTATTAATTATTTTTTAAAATAGTAAATTAAAAATCAAACAAACAAACATAGAACTGTGGTCACTGGTCAGCAGGAGCAGGCACCAATATAACAGCATATCATCCCTCTGAGTATTTCCATTTTGGATACAGAGAGCCTCACCCTGGTCCTCTTGGCCACAGAAACAGCTGTAACTCTTTTGATGTGATCAGGAACGTGGGTTTTATTTTTTGGTCCTGTTCCACCTGCTGCCATCAAGCACAAGCTGCCAGCCAGGTGGCCATAGCTCACCCAGTTCATATCCCCTGTCCCATTTCTTTACCCTTCTTTCTGCCAACCCTTTTCCAAACTTTCTCTGCTCCCCTTCCCTTTAAAATAAATAACTTGCCTCTGATGACTTTTTCCCTAAGGATCCCACTTTTACTAGAGCTCCTACTCTGGGCATTTCCAATACTGTCATCTAGAGAATATAATAATAACAACAACATCCTGAGAGGGCATTACTGATATGGTTACTTATGATGGCCTCACAAAGCTTTGCTTTCCACGAGGTCCACAGATCTTCTCTGCAGTTGTTTGTTAGAGCCTAATTCTCTCTTAAGTCCCAGTGAAATTCAAGCATCCTCAGTGGCATCATCTGTAACTTTCATCAGCTCACTGATCTCATCCAACAACTCCTCCTGCTCAGTGCTTTTCCAGATCCTATGGGTTACTGTAATTCCGTGCCAGGGGCTACTTGATGGCTTAGTCATTGGCCTGAAACTGTTAAGAGAGACACCATGTGTTAATTGTCTAGGTGCCTTGTTAAGAAACTGGTCATTTTTTGCTGGTAAATCCATGGCAGTATGGTTGCAGCTTTACATTTTGAGTAACGGTCACAAGCCTTCCGTGCAAGACGGGTTGATTTGCTAAAGGTCAGAGTAAATCACCCAAAGCTCTTGAAAGCAGAATACAAAGCTGGAGTAAATATGTCCTGTGGTACTAGTTAGGAATGACTCAGGATATGAATAAAGAATACAGTACTATTTAAAAAGTAATATCAGTGGCACTTTCTTAATGGTAGATCTGTCCCTGCATGTACTCAGCAATGTTTTCAAGCTTAATAGGCTGCCATATCTTCATATATATGTGCATTTGGTGGTTTTTGGGTTGTTTTTTTTTTTTCCTAATTTTTCTGTACTGTTTCAAAGAGCAGTTGTAACTGCACTTCGTCCTAAGTTTCAGTTCTTGCATGCACCTGGGGCAGAGAGCAGTCGTTACGGCTCCAGCTGCAGCTCATTCCCCATTAGGGGCAGCTGTGTTACAGCCCTCCCACAATTCACTTGTAGCCCAGCTCCTTGCTGGGAAGTTACAGAGCTTTGTAGGTAGTGGGTATTACTTTCAGAGGGAAACTTCACAGTAAGTAGAGTAGAAATCTTCAGGAATTCATAGAGGGAGTTGATCTCTATCTATTTTCCTACGGACAAGCAGATTTTCCTGCGAGCCGTTTACAAATGGTGAGTACTGGCTGGAGGAATCCAGTAATATGCAGCTGAGATACAGTAGTTAATGGGGGAAGTTGTGTACTTTCTGTAGGCAATGTGTGATTTAAGAGCATAGAGGAGGCTGCTAAATGGAGGTGAAGGTGTGTGGATGTGTTGTTGAGAGCTGTTATTCTGCTGGTCTAGAGGCTTTCTAGGGAAGCAGTGATCTGTTGTTGCTACAAAGACTATTGCTATTATAAAAACTTTGATAAAAGGTTGTATGTGTGCTTACATGTGTGCAGTAATCTTAAACCTTACGTAGCAAAGAGAACAATCTGGAAGCAGTATGCCAGAAAGTGTAGTTTGAATTTTTTGTTGCATGTGCTGTGAGTAGGTGGCTTTCATTTTAGAAGTGCCTTTGAAACATAAGATATGAAGCATCTGTTTGCCAGGCAAGCATCCTTCTGTGCTAGCCAACATCTGCACTTGATATTCAACTGGTGTAGACAAAGATTTGTTTAAATTATGTGTTTCATTTTTTAAAACCTTCAAGTAAGTACAAGCCACAGTATGAGAGCAATTTAGTTGTATGGATTTATTTTCAAAAGCGTAGTTCTGTGCCCTTTCCTGACAAATGTGCTACTGCTTGTATTCATTGTTCATAGTAATGCTGTTTATAAGTGTAATTATTATTGCTGCTATAATTGAGATTTCTGCTGAACACATCAGGCCTGTGATGTTTGAATTTTCCAGATCTTCAGATTTTCCCACACTGTAACAAAGACAAAATATATATTGCAGATGAGTTATGTGATTTGTATGAGGTGCTGATTAGAGCAACTGTTCACATAACTTGGGGAGAGGGTGTAAATGCTTTATCTGCTATGGATTATTCCCATGTGTCACATGTGCTCTTCATACCGGTCAAACTACATGGGGAACAAGTGTGTGAAAATCTTTTTTTCATTTGTCGTTGGATTACTGGATAAACCTTGGTCAGCTCCTTATCAAAAGTAGTTTACTGGATGAATTCCTTTGTCCACATTTTTTTTTTTT